TATTTTTATATATGCCCTCTATGTATTTATCCATTTATTTTTCAGGTAAGCGGACAGATGTTGGGTGTGTGGTCCTGTGTTTTGTTGGTGTATATTTAATATATTTCTAATCACTATTTCAGTCTTTCTATCTTTCTAATTACTTCTCTCTCTATTTTCTCTTCACTTATGTGAAAAAATCATGATGGTGTGGAGAGGATGGCTATAAGGGGCAAAGGGAGGCCATCCAAAAACGGAAAAAAAAAAACATCTAATGAAACATTATATTTGACCAAAGGCAGCTTTAATCTCAGGCTGTAGAATCAATATGATGTAACTTCATTAGTCTCAAGGATGAATCCAGTTCTTTTCCATCATTAAGTTTATAATACTGAAATTAAAACCTTCTATGTAGAGTATTTACCTGTAATTGTATTTGTACTCTGTTCTGTAGAGATGTTTGGTATGGATACGTTAAGTGATGGTCCTTAGGTAATATCCAGATATCAGCTTTTTTAATATCTTTTATAAATTTTCACCATATTTATTGCAAAGAATAAAAACATCCATCCATYCATTATTTATACCCGTTTCTTCCTTTCAGAGTCATGGGGGGATAAAAACAATGGTTTTAAATTAATACAAATGGTTTTGTAGTTTAGACTGTGTCATTGTGTCAATGTTTAATAGGATTAATTAAAACGTTTGTAAAGCAACATTAGGCGAGGTCACAATCATTTATTACTGTCATTTTGTGGGTTGGATGCTGCAAAGTTTAAAAACTACTGAATATGTTCGTCACGGGGATCATTGCTTTCATCCAGTAGCAGGTGCACGTTTTATGTACAGCATTTTGTTAACTGGCAGGAGACAAGAGGAGGAAGATGCTCTCTAAATGGCTCTTCATCAAACAAAGCATGAATGGTTGCTTCACAATAATACACAGATGCTTAAAGAGCTGCCTGTTWGTTTCATGTCAGCGCTGTGGTTCGAGTGATCGCAGACAGCTGCAGTGGAACGGAGACGATCTGGATATGGCCAACAGTGCTTTTATGGCAGGCCATTTGGGCATTTATTTAGTATCCCTTGTGTCAAGCATCACTTTCCCACACTAGCGCTTAGCTTGCTGAGTAGCTAGGTGTGAATGTTCCATGTTTTATTCTGTTTGGATTTTCCAATTAGGAGGTGTTCAGTTCAAGTTTATTTATACAGCACCAAGTCACAACACACATTGTCTCAGAGCACTGTACAGAAAAAGAATAATCTAAAGAAGAAACCAGCAGGCTGCGTTGAATTACTTCATTGCAGTCTCCCATCCTGAGCAGTTCTGTTTGGTTTTTATTTTGCAAAATAATTTAAACTAATTTTTGTGATATTTTCTTAAGTCAGGGAAGAGATGCCTTTCCAGAGGTTATTAAACTTTTTGTTTGGACTGTAGGTTACTGTTTACAGTTCAGATTAGATGGAAAAAAAGACGAGACAATTTGACTATGTTTTTGTTTTCTTGAAGTTAGCCTTGCTGCTAGCTTAGACCCACTCCACCATCAGCATTGTTTTTCTGTCTCTGCTTCTGGAAACGTCTATAAAAAAAAAGTTGGGCCTTTAGTTTTTTCTCTGTTGTAGTGAAGTTTAGGTAGGGCCCATGTATCAAACCACAACTAAGGTGTAGGGGAGACTGGGGACAGTTGCAACACTTTTTTACATTTGACTCTGTTACTCAGAGATGGTTTGAATTAGACAAACCAAGTTTTACTAAAAYAAACTTACATCTGTCTATTAATAGTCAAAACCAATAATAGATTATTAAAAAATATACGTCCTTCACAATTTGCATTTGAAAATGAAAAGTGAGAAGTTGCAACTGACCCCGGGGCCGGGGACAGTTGCAACATTGTTTGGGGATGTTTACAACATATTATTAATACAATATATTTCACTGTAAATAAAAGTTTTATTATTTTTATGTTTATATTATTGCTAAATTAATGAAAACTGTAAGTTATAATATTATAGTGTTATTTATTTATTCTTTTTAATCAAATGACAAATATAGATTTGCCTTGATGAGTAGACCTTATATACAGATGTCAAAGACTCAAATTGATATAAAATACAGTTAACTTTCAGAGACAAGGATAATAGAACAATTTGTGAGGCATTTAACTTTTGTTTTGCCTATTGTCACTGTACACCTACATTATGCAAAATTTGCATTGAAAGAAACTGGGATTTTAAAAGCATTGTTGAAAACAACAACTGCAGAAAATACATCTTAAACACTTAAGTTTTAAACTATAAAACTGTCATGAATACCCCATACMCTTWTAAGTGTAAACTTAATTTCAACATTTTAATATCATCTTGTGTGTGTGCTCTGTTTTTTATAAGGATTCATCGTATGGGGACAGTTGCAACAGTTGTTGCAACTGTCCCCCTTCCTGTCAGCCATGATAAAACCTCATGTGTTAGCTAAATAAGCTGATCTAGATACATGTTAACTATATTAGTTAAAAGTCAACATATCACTGGTTTAAACCATATAAGTTTGAGCTGGATCACACAAACAGTGACAACAGTTTAATAAAAATAAAGCTGGGCAAAAAAAACAAACTTTGGTACCTCAAAAACTTTTTTTTTTTCAAATAAATCCTGGAGCAGTTTTTGAATCTGCTTACTTTTTCTCTGCAAGATGGGGCATCTAACTGGCCATGTACATTGTGAGTGTCATCACTCTAGCTTGTTTCTGTTTGGAGAAAAAGGACGTGTTGCAACCGTCCCTTGTTGCTACTGTCCCCGGTCTCCCTTACCATTACACTCCTAATAAATAGACATCCCAAAACATACAGGATGTTTGTATAATTTTTTTGATGTTTTGGAAAACCAAACCACTCTGTTTCTGTTCCATATTTATAACTGACAGGACAATCTTATGGGTTATCCAACGTAACCAATTGATTGGTTACATTGTGTACTTGCAGCTGCTCCAAAAAATGATCTTTAATGGAATTTACATTTTCATACAAAAGGTCTRGTTCTGTTAACAAGTGCCTCTTTAAACCTGGATATATTACTCAACCTCTTCATATTTTCACAATTAAAGAACCACTCCCAGCTCCGCTCCAACAGCCGGCCATTAATCAGCCCTAACGCATGATTTCTTCTCTGCCACAGGTTATGATTTTCACATTAACCCGTCCCATTGCCCCCCCCCCCCCCCACCATGAGCACCATCCAACAGGAAAATGACCCCTCGTCAGCGCCACAGCGCACGTGTCAAATAATYGAAAAAGTAACATTTTTAATGTTTGTATAAACTCTGTGCATTGTAGGGTGAGAAAGTAAGGTGTTTAAGACCCCACCGCCACCACCCCAACAAATCTCACAGCTATTATCCTTTTCTAATTACACTTTCCTTCTGAAACAGTGGATCAGAGGGCACCATTGACTGCTTTTAATCCGCCACCAAATTTTAATTAACACAGACGTGACCCCCCCTGTCTCCGATACATCCCGCAGAAATGTTGGGATCACAATAACTCATAAATCACAGCCACACATTTCATTCCCCCCTGCTTCCTGCCTTTGATGAATTTCCAGATGGGGGCTAGTGACTGCTAATGTCAAGAAATATACGAGAGAGCGACAGAGAGAGAAAGTGTTTCCGAGAAAAGGAACAGAAAGAGGCAGTAAGGAGATGAACGGAGAGGTTAAATTCTGAGAAATTTATAAAGTGTGTCTTTATGAGTGTGTGAGACAGATGGAGTTGAAGGAAGAGGGAGAGAGAGAAATGGCAGCAGCTCTGCTATGCTGTCAACCTTTGAGAGATTTGTTACCGGGGAGAGGATTATGGAGGCTGTGAAATGAGGTTGTGTTAATATGTTGGCCATTGAGGAGCACGCTGTGGCTCTGCCAGTTTCACAGGCTCCAAAAAATCAAAAGGCTGAACAAGTGAAAATTGATGTTTTGACGAKTTCACCAACATCTCTCTCTTTGAGAGAGTGAGCATTTCCTTTTACAGACTTGTCATAAATGATCATTACCTTAATTAACATTAATGCATAGTTGTCATTAAATCCCAAACAGCTACTGTGTGAGTTTTTTCTGCATGCGGAAGCGCAGGGTGTGTGTAACTGTGTGTGAATCTGTGAATCAGACTGTGTGGAGGTTGAGGTGGGCAGGGTGCCGGGGTTTGTTATTACTAAATCGCTCATCCATGCTACTAATTAAGATGCATAGCATCCCCCTATGATTGTCAGTGTCGCTAATTATCAAACAATGTAGTGCTCACCAGATATGAAAWCTGGCAGCCTCCGTAGTCGTGTTACCAACCTATTACTGCTACAGTTACCAAGTGCCTGTCATTCTTCTTGTTAGTAATCTGCCTTCTTTTTGTCCTAATGTGTTTTTTCTTTGCCTCTGTTTTTCATAAAGGCTATGGCTTTGTGGATTTTGACAGTCCAGCTGCAGCACAGAAGGCCGTGTCRTCTCTCAAAGCCACTGGGGTTCAGGCCCAAATGGCCAAGGTAAGTCGTGTTTGTTAACACGTCTGCTTCTCTGCTTCCATCATCATTTGCTCTTTATTCAACATCCTCTGAAGATTGATTGTGCGTTTTACGCTTAACAGCTTCCATACACACTGCTGTTGACCATAAAGACATTTAATAGGAAGTAATTCTCAGCAACATCTTGCGGTTTAATCACAGACTTGTTCACTTTAATATAAGAAGGCTGTTTAATGGGGGCTGTTAACTTCATTTGAGGAYGCGACACGTTCCGAGGTGACTTTGATGCGTCTGTTTTGTCTTTCTGACGCTCGGTGAAGGAACACGTGTCAGAGTGTGGCTCCTCGGGATTCGGGAGGTGTTGTGGGCTGATTGTTGTGTTGCGTGTGAGAGTCCGGATGTGTTTTGAACTGCTGGTTGCATGACAAGCCCCGTCTGCTTGTGGGTGAGCTGATGTTGCTCTGGCTGAGCGTTGGCCGGCCTCGTGTGTTGTTGTGGATTATTAAAGTGGAAGCAGATGAGACTCATTGTTGAGTCGCTCAAAGAGTTGCTCAATGAGAGCCGTGCTGACAGATGTAGAAATAAATTTAGACTTTAAACAGCTCAGATGTACTCTAATCCAAAGATTCTTAACCCATGGGCCACTTTGAGTGCCTCAAAAGAACAGCAGTTTTTAACTTTGTGCCAGAGAGGGCTGCGGGACTGCATTGATTTTGAATAAGGTGCTGCAATACACTTTTTCACCACTAGTAGCAGTAGTGTGCCACTCAGTTGTTTTAACAGCTTTTTTAATATGTAGAAGAAGAAACTTAGAAACCTGCCAAGAATGGAAACGTATTTTAAATGAAGCGTAGAAGCAAAAATGAAAGTAACYCRTCAMAAAACACCAAARTTTGTCACTAATAKRAAGTGCAGCTTCTGTTTTTACCATGCATTATTTTAAAAGTTCAAAACATTATCAAAAACAGTTGCAGAAACAACTATATTTTAATTTACACTTTAAATAAACTTTTGTAGTTTATTTTTAAACATTTTGAATGTATTTTAAAGACATTTTAAACTTGCTGTTACTGTTATTGTTTGTCACTAATATGAAGAGCAGCTTCTGGTTGCAAAAGTTTAAAAATGCTATATTTTCATTCATACTTTATCAGATTTATTTTTACAGGTTGTTTTATTTGAAACATTTACATTAAACATTTTTAATTTATTTATTTTATGCTCACAATTTTATTTTTTGAATGGTCTGTTTTTGTTATTGTTTATGTTAAAAATATATATATTTGTGCTGATAAGCCTGAGTGGTCTGTTGACTGACCTTTGTATTTGTTCAAATAATTGTTATGGGCAGGTTACAATATAAAAATATTTGTTATAATCATGTCTTGTGATTATTTGACAGGAGTTTTACTTTTAAACTGTAAGTGTACTTAATTTAGTTATGTTAGTTGTGATAGTTTAGTTATGTTTATTAGATTAGAATAATTATCATTTTGATCCATACATTGGTAATGTCTGACTGGGCCTCGTGCCAATAAGAGCCCCTGCTCTAATCCACCAATTAAATATAGAATATTGTGTCTTAAATGAACAGTGACTTGATGGTTGCATAGTTGGCAGTTTTACAATAAAAAGAAAAGCTTGTGCTCCACAACAACAATTCCAATGGTTTGTCATTTCTCAGGCTCATTTCATTTTTACCTCTTATTGTTTTTCATTTCCCTGTTAACCGTATACCACGGGTTCTTTCTCTCTGCTATTCTTGCACCAATCAAATGTTTGGTAGCGTCAGAATACCTAAATAGGTGGAAAAAATGTCAGTAGCATTGAAGCAATAAATATGGTGATGACTTTGAGGGTGCACCAAGAGTGATTTTTCACAGATGAGATGTAAGCATTTGATCCGATTCCAACCCCCCCATTCCTTTCGAAGCCAAAGAAGTCTTGATGAGATTGAGAATGGCGCCAGTGAAGATGACAGAACTGATGATAACGATGAAGGTGGCAATTATTTTGATCAAATGGGATGGGATCTGACAGGAAGAGATGATATCCCGTGTGGTGCTCAGGTGTGCCATTTCTCAAATGCACCATTTGGCCGTTTCCTTTCCCCCCACCAGTGTCCTTCTTCCAATATTTATAAGAGGCCGGGCTCTCGGAATACAGATAAGATCTTTGTCCGTCTCATTTTAAGGCCGCGCTTTGCATTGCTCACCTTCTCTCAGTCAATATTTTCATGAGAGGGGTCTTGTGTCCCAAAACAAAGGAGCTGACCTTTTAAAGAATCTTTTGTTTGCACGTGTGTGTGTGTGTGTGAGCAAATTCACAAAATCATTTTCTATTAGCATTTATGTAGAATAGTTGAGCTCTGGATGCTCTGTTCACTCAAACGGAAAAGGCCAGCGTTGTGTGCTGCAGCTCTGTGCTTTTATCACACTTGTGAGAGACATTAAGGAGTAGTTTGCTTTTATAGACTCCCTCTGCATCTCTCTAATGTCTCTTTACCAGGTATCACTACCATCGCTCCTTCAGCTCCGCCCACTGACGCCTCCACATCACCCCTGTCTGTTCTCTCCGTCTCTTTTTTTCCCCTCCAAACGCTGTTTGCGCCGCTCATTATTTTTCTCCTTTAAATGCACACATTTATAATCGTATTTATATTCACGTCCACCGCGCAATGCCTTTCCGACATCCAACGAGTGYCATTTATTCCCATCAATAATTAATAGCGTGCTTGTTTTTCTGTCTGCCTACCTGCCAARGTGTTGGTGACACCCACCCATTTTGTCATGGCAGCGCTGCACTTCCTGTGCAAATCACAAAGCAGATTGCTGATGCCACGGACAATTTCCACCAAAAGAACATTCAGCCTCATTGTCTCACTCCCCTTGCCCCGTTTTTTTGTCACATATATATCTTTCCACAACAAAGTAATAAACGAATAGCAAGTAAGAGCCAGAGGCTTTGAGCTCATTAAATAAAACTGTCACAGTAATCAAGTTGTGCCTTTTTTTTTCTGCCTTGACGCCATTAAAACGCCTTTATTAAGATGCCTTATTTTAAACACAGCTGCAAAGGAGGCACGAAACAGAGGGAAAAGAGAAGCGTCATTTGATTTCGTCTTCTTTCCTTTTCAAAGAAACAGCCTGCTGTCTCTCTCCTCTTACTCCCCCTGGAATTTAAAATACCAAGGCAGCAGAGATGAAACATTGCCTTCCTTTTGTCTTGCCCTCCCCTGAGGATGGTGACAGCGAGAGGGAGGAGAGGAGCCATAATTAAGATACCTAAAGGACACTTCCCCCTGCACCACCCCTCCTGTCACTCACCTCTGCACAAGTCACAGATAAGAGCACTTAGCATAGGTGACGAGGGTGTGTGTGTGTGTGTGTGTGTGTGTGTGTGTGTTGTTGTATCAGTTTGTGTGTAAAATAGATGAGTTTATTCACACAGAACATTTAAATATGAATTTATTTTCACCGGTCATCTGTTTTATGTTAACTACTGGGACGGACAAACTGAATACAGGAAGTGTGAAGAATCCGTGTTTGGTTTGTTCTTTGGTTTTTCAGTTTCAAAATAAAATTGCAGTTTCTTTCCTTTTGATCTTTCATTTTCAAAACCTAAATGTACAAATGCAAACTGAATTAATACAACATCCACAATGTTGAATTTTTTCTTAAGCTATTAAAAATAAAATATATGGTTGCTGTTTTAACGATATCCGAAATGGCAGAACTTGCCAAAGTAGTAAAGATTAAAGAAGAATGAAAAAGTCAGCTTAAAAACCAAAACTATTCCTAAAGATCTTTGCTGTGGCTGCACTCAAATCTGCTTCTGCACAACTTGGAATCTTAAAGTAATTTTGTTAACAGTAAAATCATTAGCTCTTAATAAGATGTGGCAACTCCTTCAAAATAAGACTTTTCTAAAGTGCTCAGTGAAACTGTAATGTGCAGGAGTTCAGGCCATGATCATTTTTGGTTCAGCCAGAAAGTAACAAACAAACAAAATATAAAAGTTCTCTTTACTTTAACCCAGTGGTTCTTAACCTGGGTTCAATCGAACCCTAGGGGTTCGATGAGCCGGTCTCAGGGGTTCGGTGGAGCCTCTGCCGCGGAGGTAAAGGCACACTTGTGTCAAGTCATGATGACACGCCCCACTTGGTCATCACTTGCTGCAGAGGATCACATGTGATTGCTTGGCCAATCAGTGCTGGCCCCAAAAAAGTATTTTGTCGATTCAAAACGACAAAAAACAAATTAACCTTAAAATTAATT